GAAGATTTCTATCTTAACAAATAAATAACATTTCGGGTAATAATATTTTAGCTATTATGTTAGCATGTATTGCGTTCATCTAATTTGATTGAATTTATTTCTAATATTTCAGACACAAGAATATTGTTCTATTGTAAAACGTAATTGTTTCCTTTTTGATCAACTCGAATTCCTGTTCATTTTAAGAGCTTACATCAATAGTTTCATGTTGTGAACATTAATGACGTAACTATCTTGAATCAATATACATTAAATATCAATCTATTTCCCAAATCATATTAATAATTGTAATGTAATGGTTATTATATAGACAGTAAAATGTAATTAAAACACTCTTAATTATGGATTTAAAAATGAATATTTGAGGTTAAAATATTTAATCTTCCTAGGTATCAATTAACTAATACTTACTTACTTATTTACTTACTTACTTTCGCCTGTTACTCCTTGTGAAGGAGCATAGGCCGCTTACCAGCATTCTCCATCCAACCCTGTCATGGGCAATCCTTTCAAGCTCTTTCCAGTTCTTATTCATCCTTTTCATATCTGATTCTATTTCCCAAAGTAATGTGTTCTTTCGCCTTCCTTTGTTCCGCTTCTCTTCAGGATTTCAAGTTAAGGCTTGTCTCGTGATGCAGTTTGATGATTTCGTCAATATATGTCCTATCCATTCCCATCCTCTTTTCCTAATTCCATCCTCAACTGGAAGCTGATTTGTTCTCTTCCACATTAGACTGATGCAGATGGTATCCGGCCAATGGATGTTGAGTATCTTGCGTAGACAACTATTTATAAATACTTGTACCTTCTTCATGATGGTTGTAGTAGTTCACCATCACGAGACAAGCCTTAACTTGAAATCCTGAAGAGAAGCGGAACAAAGGAAGGCGAAAGAACACATTACTTTGGGAAATAGAATCAGATATGAAAAGGATGAATAAGAACTGGAAAGAGCTTGAAAGGATTGCCCATGACAGGGTTGGATGGAGAATGCTGGTGAACGGCCTAGGCTCCTCTATGAGGAGTAACAGACGTAAGTAAGTAGTTAATTTTAAATGAAAAATATTTTTTTGTAACTTAATAATGTTCTTAACTAGTTTATTAACAATCTGTGTTGTTGACTAAGATTATTTTAACTTGAAAATAGTTTTTAGAAGTAAAACTTAGTTGTTATTGAATAGCTTGGTCATATTTGTTAAAAGATCTAAATAACGGATTGCTTGAAAACCATTAAAAATCAGAAAGCACTTAAAAGTGATTTAATTTCAGTTTGGATCTCTTTCGTGAGATACAATCCCAAATCCACTTAGGTTCAGATTAAGAAATTTGACATTTATCTTTTTCTCTTTCTGAGTATGATAATGGTGAACCAGAATTTAAAAGATATCGTACTAACCACAATATAAAAAGCTTCCGGATAAGAACATATGTAAGATCATATATATACAATGTTTTAGAATGTTCAATAATTGTTCTATTAGCTGCGCTTATCCGCTTACAGTTCATTTGTTGTACGTCGATCTTTCAATATGTCAACAAATCTGTTGATTAATTAAATTAGTCTCGAGAAATTATGTAAATAAATGCACTTTGGTTGACATAATATCGGCACTCAAAAGCTTCGTTTGAATACTGCTTCAATTCAGCTACCATTTTCACGAAGGTAAAACTCGTTCAAAATTTTACTAAATATTTCACGCCGCATAAGTGTTTTCAAGTAGAAATATGATGAAAAGTCTTCGTAGCTCAAGGACAGGATGTTGAGGATATTACATTCTCCGAGAATTAAATGATTCTGAGAACACAACATAGAAATACATTCCTTCGTTGCAAGTCTTCATTGCAGTTTTGTTTGTTTGAATCTTCTCATTAATGTTTAGGACTTCAACTGATCAGTCTCTTATTGGCATATATAGATCATGTGCGGATTGCCTCGATATCGCCTTAATTCATGTTATTAAATCCTCCTGAAACTTTCACCATTTGTTATCTTAAGAAAGATTCCAAGGCCGTGGATTCTTATGATTACAGTCTGAAATATTTTATCCCTGATCAACTTATAAGTTCATTTTAGCTATTTTAAATATAATTGAACACATCTTTTTGGAAGCAGGATTTGTGTACAGTGTCTTGTAAAGAAATATTGTACTCAATATTATGGTTAATCATAAATGTTACATATATTCAGAAATTATTACCGTTTTAATAAACGTTTGTCAAAACTGTTACATATATACAATTTATTATCAACTAATATATTCTTTATTCATTACAAATGATTTATATGAAAAGCAATTACTTCAACAGAACTGTTGGAATGGTTAATTTAACTTTTGCTGAACAGAAGAATATATATATATATATATATATATATTTTCTACTTAAGATTTCATACCCTTCGTATATATATATATATATATATATATATATATATATATATATATATATATATATATATATAATGACTTTGATCTCAACTAAGTATTGTACTTTTAGTCGAATAATCATAATCCACTTTATCATGAATAAGCTCATTTGAAATTATTTAAAATTCACATTTAAAACTAGCACGTCAAATCAACTTGTAGAATTCATTTGTTTGTTGAGATCATGAATCTATTGATGTTAGACTACCATTAATAACCTAAAAGCACTGAATGACCGTCTCGTTCTAGTGTGAGACTCCTCGACAGTGCTCATCCACGATCCCACTCTGAGGATTCGAACCCAGGACCTTCGACTTATCTTGCGAACGCCTAACCCCTAGAACAATGAGCCGCCTTTCAACAGTGTTAATGTCTAACTTCAAGCAATTCACAGAAGTGTGCGACCATCTTCCATTGTCTGAGGTAGATACATGTCTCTACTTGACATGAATTACCTCCACTAGTCACAGATTCTCACTAGAACTCCGAGATATCACGCACGATGGTTGTTTAAATCAATCGTTTCATGATTTCAATCTAAAACATGACAATCACCTTAACCCTATACCGATCATTATTTTTTTCCTAAACATGGTTCCTTCAAATAACAATAATAAGATTCTGTCAAATATGTATCAAGATATTGGTCTATCAATCACGAAAGACCAGGAAATACTTAAATTATTCCTCATTATGTATAATCATTGTTAATAATTTCACTGTCTTTAAATCTTATGATAAATCCAGTACCATTCACTCATCAAATAGTAATCTAACTTTCCACAATTTAAGCTTAAGTCATTTCACATTGTAGCCTAATTATAATCAAATGTTAATGATAACTTACTCTTTCATTTCTAACTATGTTAACTTATTCAAACTTCTAAAAATCTATTATGAAATCATTTATACCGATATTCGTCAAGATTAGAAAGTATAGTTTGACAGAAATTATGCGCCGAGTATAGAAAAGTCATTATATGTGAAAATAATATTTGAAATAATTTCAGCGAAGAAGAAGTCCAGACAAGTTAGATGGACGAAACGTTGGAATTATATTAAATTTTAATCGCTGGAATTATTTCAAATATAATTTTCACATATTTTATGAAATCAGTTGCCTTATTTTTCTTCTGAAAAATATAATTATTGAATTGAATATCTCTATGAGGAATATTTATATTTTTTAATCGTTTATCATTATGACGAACGATTTCAAATTAATCGTGATTTCAGTAGTTGAAATCATGAGTCAATTGAAAGCAGACCATCATATAAAACCAGAAAGCACTGAATGGCCGTTTTGTCCCAGTATGGGACTCCTCAAAAGTGCGCATCTACGATCCCGCCCCCTAAGAGATTCGAACCCGGGATCTATCAGTCTCGCGCGCGAGTGCTAAACCATTAGATCACTGAGCCAGTCGGCATCTAACGGTCGGTATCCAACGGTGTTAATGTCTAACTTCAACTAATCCACGAAATTGCGCCACCGTACATCATTGGCTTAGCTCGCGCGCGCTGGACTGATAGGTCCTGTGTTCGAATCTTGCAGAGGGTGGGTTCGTGGATGCGGGATGTAGATGAGGGGTCCCATACTGGGACGTCCAGTGCTTTCAGGTTATCCATGATGGTCTATATTCAATTGACTCATGATTTCAACTATTGAAATTCCTAAAAATCTCTACAAAACCCTTTTTGATAATAGTCGTCATTCAGTAAATAAAAGGTTTCTAAGCAGTACTTTTTTTTAAAAAATGCCATCAATAGAGAATTTTACAAACGATCATTATCACAAAATAAAACAAAAAAATTGTAATTTCCCTTATATTCAATCTTCTCAAATTTTATTCTAAGTTGTTATTTTTCTTTTCTCTCATTTCATATAGAAGTTCTTACACGAAAACTTTATATTAACGATGTATTATAATATTTCATGCTTAACTTATTCAATTGTTAATACTATCATTCTTATATGAAGCTAGTTTAATACCCTTCTTACTTCATTTTTTACCGTGTACATATTATACCATTCTCATGAATACGGAAAATCGAGAAAATTTCCATCTGTTCCTTATATTGCCTAATACAAAATATGTTTCAAGTTATGTTTTCTCACTACATACAAACAATAAAAGATTCTATCACATTTTAGACTATCAAAATGAAGTTTAGTGATTTTAATGACTGTTGTGTTTTGCTTTTTTTTCAAAAAAAAATCTTCCCACAAACTAAAATTGAAATTGAACTCATTAGAAAAGAGTAAACAGTATTACATATTCAATTATGATAGATTAATGATATAATCTAAAGGTTATTTAATGTCAACTTAAGGTGAATTTAAACAATATGTACATATTATCTATATTTGGAACCTACTTATAATTAACTAATCAACAAGGTCATCAAATGATTATAAGTAGTATTCTCGTACCAAGACCATCTTTCTTATCATTTGTTTTAATAGTATATATAATATGGCGTTCATTTGAATTATAACATCTAAAAATAAATATTATTAACATCGAAGTTACGATTGATAAACCATTAGTTTTATATTAGTCAAATATAAGCCAGATGAGTAATAATAACAATAAAGAGGATATACTCAAAAGCAGTGGTGATAATGTGAAAGGGGAAATAAAAGAAACAAACGTAATAAATGAAATGTTAAGTGGTTAGTTAAATTATTCACACTTAGATAACAAATGTCTACGTGATTTAGATAATTCAAGATCAAATCAAAGCAGCAGTTTAAATGAAAGTGAACTACGTACCACTAGTAGTAATACAGTTATTATAAGTTTTACTGAAAGTGACAGCACAAGTTCATCTAGTAATCGTGGTGATACTAGTGACGGTGATGATAGTGATGAAACAGACTCAACTAGCTCCGACGATGATGATGATGATGATGAGGACGAGTCTGCTCAATCGAATCAAATTGCCGATTTTTCTGGTCAAGGTTTTACTACTGTACCATCAATAATATTTCATCGTAAGTTAATTTTTTTATCAGTTAGTTTCTTGTATTTTGTTACTTCAGACATTTACTTAAAGTATTTGTAATTGTTGAATTCACGGGTCGATCTAAGCTAAACCACCATCGAAAACATAAAAGCATTGAATAAGTGTTTCATCCCAGTATGGTACTTCTCTGCAGTGCTCATCCACGATCCCACATGGAGGACTTGAATCCCTGACCTTAGGTCTCGCGCACTACCAGGGAATCCCATACTGGGACAAAATGGTCATCCAGTGCATTCAGGTCTTCAATGGTGGTTTAACTTAGATCGACTAAAGAATTCAACTATTATAATTACCCCAATCTCCACAAATCCCCCGATTCTATTTTACCTTAAGTGTTTAATAGGTAGAAAACTTCAGCTAATGTTATTTCGAAACTATGTTATTCTAATTTTAACATTTTTAATACAAAACCTCTGGATAAATTAACATCGCTTTTTAATTCCAATGCACTTTTATAGTGATGAAAACATGATTTATAAATTGCTCTTTAAAACTACTTCATATCCTTCTATAGAAAGACACTAGACCTTAATTTATTCAAACTCATAAAAAGTTATTATGTTCGAGTTAATAATTTTATAGATTACATCATTTTTGAGGAAATTTTTGGGAACTTAATTGTGATAATCGCATATTCAATAAAATGAATAATTTTGGTAATGTTTATTGTTTCATTTAAATCAAAAGTAAAATATAAACAAACATCTATAGACATTAAAGAAAAATAAACCACAATCTTAGAAACAAATATAGTTCACAGTATCTTCTCATTGATCATTAATTCTAAACAGACTAAAATGTTTATTCGTTTGCTCTAACAAATGAAAGCGAATATAGCTTGTCTAACAAATTTAATATAAGTACCTATGATAATTAGAAGTATTTGAATTATAGTATGAACTAAGAATCCCAGGGATAACGCAATTGAATCAAGAAGTACTACATAAGCACTAACGAATGTACTGTATTTAGAATTCGAAATCAAACATTCAACAAGTACAAAGGAGTCATTAGTTCATTCAAACACCACATCCGCCACAGCTTAAATTAGAGTCTAAGTGTCTGTAATCAATTGTACGTCTTCTCCTCAAGTTCATGCTGTGTCTGTCCGACAACGTATTGGATAAAGACTCTGCATTATCTAGAATGCACTCATTATTATTAGAATAAACAACTGAAATCGGAACAGACTCACTTGATTTCTGGGATTGTGTGCAATCATCATGTCCGTTGAGTACTGAAAGTACTGCTACCTAGAATTTCAACCATAGACATTCAGACTATCCTCCCCCACGAAATAATGTCGGATCTTCATATCCCCAAGTTATGAATAATGTGGCTTCATTTAAATCATCTTTCTCAATTTGACTAGAGTAAACATCGGAAGTGAATTTATGATAAGGACAAACAATAATTGATATGGAATCATCTGAATTGTAATCAGACTCTAACTCATTTAATACTCGTGCTTCGCATTGAACAAGTTTCTCACAAGAAACAAATGCATCATGAGGACAAACAATATTTGATATGACATCAAGATTCGATTCTTCTGAAATAGTTTCCTCGAATTTATTAAGAATGTCATTGCAGAGTAAAGGATCGTTAGAAAAATCAGCATCTATCAAAACTACATCAGTTTTTTTATCATCATTAGGTTTATTCGAAATATTTTCACCAGATTTGTAAGAAATTTCACCAGAAATATGTGAATCATTAGGAAAAACCATATCTGGTACAATAACATGAGAAATCTGATAGGTTGATTCAATAGAAATTGTTGTCTCGCAAGAATCTTGAGTTTCATTTAACTCTGAACTGCTATATGACTCTAAACTGTCTTTTGAAATCGTCGATAAAGATAAATGATCATTATAAATATTCAGATTAATAGAATCAGAATCAAAAGACTTAATATTAGTTGCAGCAACATGAACAGTAGTATTACAAACTGACTGAATATGTCCAACATCAACACATTTAAAGCACTTACAATTACGAAATTTACATGAATTAAAAGGGTGGAACCTGCCACAGCACAAACATTGACCAAACTTGTGCCCATCCTCGTCAACTGCATCGCAATTCCCAAATGAATTATCTGCATAATCCTGAGTATGCACTGGGATGGGGCGACGTAATGTAGTGGAATTTTTTATATCCTCATGAATTATTTTACGAAATCTCCCTTTACCGCATTCGAAATTTGTATACTTAGCATAGTGTAGAAGTAGTTCCTTGAGAGTTGTATAAGGAAGAGAAATGGGCTTTTCCGGTAAAGCCAAAATTTTTATTAAGCTATATGCTTCTTTTCCGATGAATGTGAGAAAATGTGCTACAATATTAATATTCTCATCATCTTCCTTGGTCATAGCCCAGATTTCGAACCTTTCAAAGTAATCCTCATAAGCATCAAAATCCGAATGAATATCTAACTGTTCCATCGCAGGCCCCATCGCGACGCCAATATGATAATTAGAAGTATTTGAATTAAAGTATGAACTAAGAATCCCAGGGATAACGCAATTGAATCAAGAAGTACTACATAAGCACTAACGAATGTACTGTATTTAGAATTCGAAATCAAACATTCAACAAGTACAAAGGAGTCATTAGTTCATTCAAACACCACAGTACCCCCTTATCTTCATTGGATTCCCTAACTGATTTCCATCAGGAAAAAAAATCAATTCTCGAACTCACTTGTACTTGACGTGTAACGGAACAATACTGAGTTTAATTTACTTAAATACAGCATTTTGACTCCTTCTAACTATACTATCATTGTCATCAACTAAAGATTGAATAATCTAAATTATTACACTGGCTGAGAAAGTTTGTGTTTATTTAATAGTATATTAAGTTTTTAATCATGATTATTAAAAGTACATAAAACTTCATCTGTAAGTCTACATGTTATTTGCGAAATTTTGAAGTATCATCAATCGTAATAGATTATGGTTCCATAATATATTCAAATGATTAAAATTGAAAAACTAAACTACTGAATACCAGCTCAGTAATCTGAAAGTTAATGGCTCATCATGATACCTTACAGTTTTAAGTTTCATTCCTGATCCTTACTACTGAGGAACTTCGTAATACAAAAAGCAGAAGTTCAATATCTGTTTTCAATATCTGATGCACAGTGAAGATGGTGTGTGAGCCAACTCCATTTATTCAACTGTTAATCTATATTTAAATAAATATATTTTAAATACGTTACAGACATGTGATGAATAGGATAAGAAGTGTACACACGAACACTCATATAAAAAGTCAGAGTTGATAAGTGAATAATTAACAAAGTCAAAACATAAGAAGAATAGAAAAACTGGCCTACCCAAGAGCTAGAATAAGGTGTATGGGCTTAACATAGTAACTTACATTACAGGTCAACTTTAACTATCACTTTTACCTTCGTTGTTAATGTATTAACTTATGGGTTTTTGCCCCTATGACTGTATAACATAATTATACCTCCTATTAGAGAACAGTGAATTATCGATTGGACCAATGACGCATAAAACCCGTATCAGCTTTCTAGAGTCCTTATCGGTTCTTCTTCCAGTCTAGCACTACCTGTGAAGTCCAGAACACCAATCTCAGCCTCTGAGATATGAATCATGTATTTCAAACATACTGAGTTCATATACAAACCAAACAGACCACATCAAACCATAAAATAAAAAATAACATTTGTACAAGATCCGTCCAAACGTGCTTGTGATTATGGAAGACTGTAATTAATAAACTAAGCATAACTCAAGAACGGTAAATCGTATAATACTAGTCAATAGGTCAAAATGAAGCTTTTAATAAAAAGAACACGAATATGCATACTTTAGCTACTTAATAATTATTCAATAAAAATATATATGTAACGTATTGGTTCATAAATAGTTCTCAAAAGTTACCATTCATTAATCTCATCGGGATATAATAGTAAATAATCAAAAAAATGTTTATTATAATTTTATTAACTTTTTTTCTTCTAAACATTAAAACCATTATTTAATCACAAACTATAAATGATGTAAATTTTCATATTACCCTCCTTACACATTTCATTTAAATAAAGAACAACCAATATTGAATTTTGTAAATGATTTCAATTAATCACCAGTCATTTTTCCAATCAATTAACATATTTCGTAGTTATTATATTAATTAAATTATTTAATTTGTAAAACAAACAAACAACCGAAGTCAATGAATGAAAAATGAGTATCACTATATGATTAATTTCCATAAACTACTATTTAGTTCAATTTATTTGTTTTACTATATCGTAATGATAAATAACTTATAATTGAAATACTTAATAAAAATAAGATTATGAATATAATTGAGTTAAATAATCTTGTCAAAGTCTTTGTTTTTTTTGGGGGGGGGAGGGAAGTGTTTTGTTGTTTGATTGTTTGTTTTTGCCCTTGATTCTGATCAATTTACGCTTGAGTTATAAAATAACTAATCATTTAAGTAGAGTAAGTGAATAAGTGTGTTGTAATGTTATAATTAGTAAATGGTTGATTGGTTGTTTTAATTTTTTTTTGTATGTGTTGTACCGGTTTCTATGTTATTCAATGTTGTTACCTTTATGTTTTGTTGTTGTAAATTATTGTTTATTTTATTTGCTATTTAGTATAAACTAAGTAAAACTTATTTAATGAAATGAAATGGTTGAATAGTCTCATTAAAAAAAGAGGAAGAAAATTGGTCATTGAACCACGGGAAATCTGATTAGTTGAACATCTTTTAAAAAAGACGATGTTTTATTTAATTTTTCAAAGGTCTTGGTCGATAAAACTTTCATTTTTTGTACTAGTGAATGTGTCCATGCAAAATGATTGATTTTCAATGGTGGAAACAAATTTTTCTCTGCCTTACGATACCCATAAAGTTAGATTTAAAGTAAGCACATTTATATGCCTATAAATCTGTCTTCTGTTAGTAATAGTAATTCAT